TGCCAACCTCACTCATGACTGATGAGAAAAGGTCAGTGCTTGCTAGAAACAGAAGCAAGGAGAGGCTGGAAAATGAAGGGCTCATCCAAGCAGTCTTGTAGCTATCTGCTATATGTCTGTGTATGTCCTATATGCACGACCACTTTATGGTTAATGAGAGCAAACGTGAGCAAAACAATGGCCACAATCTATGGGATCTGGCTGGAGAACAAGGGCTGGTCCAAACAGCAAGAGCAGATAAGCTCAGCATCAGACAACTGGTCTCGCACAGAGGCGATGCCACTGATAAGCCTGAGGAAGAGCAAGACAACCCGAGGTGATGAGATGGGATGTGATATAAGCCTTCAAAGACTCCAGCCTGTACAAACGCAGCATATTTGGGGTATTTTTCTGCATGCACATTGGAGAGAAGCCCAGCTCCACACCCCAGAGCCTTGGCTGGCCACCAAGCTGCACTGCAGGCAAACAAAATCGGTCAACCACAAAGCAGCTAAAAAGTGAGTGAGTGAGCAAGCATGTGCTTGTGCTTGCAAGCAGTGCTAGCTAATAAAGAACAGAGATGCTCCTCCCCTCCTAACAACTTCACTTAAACAAAATACCTGAAGTATTAACAACTATTAGCACCAGCTGTTACATTCAAAAGGTAAATGCATAACATACATGCAGGCTCTGAGTTACTATCAGAAACATTTCTGTTCAGAGGGCTCTGGTCAGTTACTAAATCTCACACCAACAGTGTGCAGCTGCATCAAAGAAGCAGTATTTTAGATCTACCTTCTTCAAATATATATGGAAACCCAAGGCAAGAGCAGAAAAGTCAGCCCCACTTACGGCCTATTCCCAACGGACCAGGGTAATGGAAACCAAACCAATCCTTCTTTCCCCCCAAATTATTCCCCAAAATTGAAGTGAGAAGTGATTGAGTGGGTTTAAAATGTTTTTTTGGGTTTTTTTTTTCCTAAATAAAAAGAAAAAGAAATAATTATGTCCAGGGGGAAAACTTCTACACCCATTTTTACATGGAGAGAAACCCTAACATTATAAAATCACTCAAAAAGAGGGTTATGCTCTGTAAATGGCAACTCCCTCACTCTTAACTGTAGTATCACAAATGCAGCGCTGTAATAACAGGAGACAGAAGGGTTTGAACAGTGCTTGGATTGCAGAGTAATAATAATAATATAGTACTTTCCAAAATTGCCTGAATAGTGTGAAATATACCACAACCTACAGAACGAGTTATAAAAATGGCTGCTTTACACTGGGTGCTACCAACCTTTTTTGTCACTGCCAGAGAGTAACTATAGCTCCCTTTGGGATGAAAGGTTCTATATAAAGGAAAGGTATCATTACAATCATTACTATTATTATTGAAATGCAAAACCTGTGAGTAATAAGCAAGTGTATGTGAAATTTCACAGTCATCCTGTGAACGTATCCTATTAATGCAACACTTCCCTACCACACACCAATTGCCTCAAGAATGGTGAAATGACCCGCCCACAGGTATGCTATAGAAGCTGGAGGCTTTTGTAAAGAACAGCATTTATGCTCAAATGTACAATGCATAATAACCCCCCCAAAACGTGAAATCCTGGAAGACAAGTGGCCATTCTCTACAAGCCACCTGGGATACCCAGCAGCCTGAATTTCACACCTCTACTGAAGTTTGTGCCTGTCCTGAGGAATCACTAGTGACACACGAATGCAGGATTGGAACAGTGTTCTTCAACTGGATGTTTGCCACACCAAGTAATCATTTATGAGAGCCCTGCAGACTTTATCCAGACAAATTTCCAGCCAAGTTCTCCTACAAAATCCTTTTGAACTCAACCAGCATTTCCTGGCGGCCTCCAGAAGGGCCAGGACACTTGTCCAAAATGGGGCTCTGCCACCTCATCCACCCCTATGCCACCTCTCTGCCCCATGTGCCACGGGAACCCTCCCATACTGCAGGCAGCTCCAGAGCCCTACCTGCAAAACAGAAACTGCTGCCTGCTGTCTATCGACATTTCTAACCAAACTGAAGCTTCTGAGGACTGCTCTTAAAGTAAAATACAGGGGCAAGGGGGAAAGGGCTGGGACTTCCCAAAATCAGACATTCAACGGGGCTGACAACTGGGTGCAATTTCAAAGACAAATTGGAAAGGCAAAAATGAAGCCGGGGAAGTGGAATGGGCACCTCTTTCCACGCTGGCGGCTGCATGGCTCCCAAGAGGCTCTCCCAAGTGCTTTAACAGGGCTTATGCTGCATAGCACTTGTTTGTGTGTCACCTTCCTCTGCTTTCAGTTTTGTGGGGAAAACTGCAGTTTTTATCAGCAAAGCACAACTGCTTCAAAACAACACAGGAACAGTCCACAAGGGATTTGGGAGAGTCTCACTTAAAGTGCCAACAGCAGCTTGGCTCCTAAAGAAAACACAGTTCCCAGCACCTTAGACTCTAATCCATATTGTACAGGCTTACTTACTTTGATTAAAACTTCAAAGTAACCTTCTGCATTCCCTGGGCTAATCGGAGTATAGGCTCGCTGGACCTCCAAACCATTCACCACTCCTCTGAGAAGAGAAACACAGGAACCCACCGTGACTGGGGTCACTGGTGTTAGCAAACTTGTGCAGTTCCCTGGGGACACAAGGAAGCAGCAGGTGCTCTTCCCAGCAGCCCAGCCTGCGCAGAGATGCAACACATTTCCCTTCCAGAGGTAAAAATCCAAGGGCAACATAATGGCTAAATGTACCTTTTGTTTTCCCCAGCAGTATCACACACTCAACTCTTAAGACACACCACTGGAAGGATGTTCGAGCCATTTCTGATCAAACATGCAAGAGTGGCAACAGGGAGAGAAAATGCTTTCACAGCTAAATTTGCTATTGCTTTTGGGCTGGGGCCTACTGTCTGTGCTCAGACAGCGTCTGGTAATTAAACAACGAAAGCCAGGGCACAGCCTTGACCTGAAGTCTTGTCAATATACACTGTATTTTCCTGTAAGTCTTCTCTTTCCATAGAATATATCCACCCTGCTCTTTACTGCTGACCAGGGTAATTGATTGAAGTGACCAAAGCTTTTCCTCTGCTCCACTCTGAGAGATGGCTGAGGGGAGAAGCGTGTTCTTTCAGCACCAGCCAGCTGCATGCATCAGCTGTTAACGTACAAATAACGTCAACAGATACAGATCAATGGCCTCATAACATGACTTTTTCTATCTGGCAGTGATCACCACAGATGGCCGAGAGAGGCATAAACTCTTCCCAGGTGGCCCCTTTCTGGCAAGCAATGAACTGCACAGGAGAGTTGTTTTGCTAGGAATCAGTCAGGAAATGCCTGGATGCTGGGAGTTACATCCTGGGTGCTGAGTTACCCCAAGATACGGGGCCTGAAATACCAAGCTGTGGGGGGAGCGCAGCTCACTGTCTTCATTCCAACACGCCGGAGCAAATCGTCTGTTGTAACACCTATTCTTTTGAGTCTTTCTTCCTGCAAACGGATTTTCTTAATCACACCTAGTTCTTTCTGGCCCACCAACGCAAGGATAATGCTGAAGAAAACTACAGCTTTGGAATGGCTTTTACCAGAAAATTAGCAGAGCTAGCGAGCTCACGAGTTCTTTCATCTGTGTCGTTGTGGAGGTATAGAAATCATGATTTGCCTGCTATGAAGCCTTTGTCTACTGACAAAAAGCTCCGTGTTAGGTTACATAATGCAGACTGTTTAACTAGCACAGAGAACAATACCTTAACACGATATGTTGTCCTAAACTCAAGCGCAGGCTGCTATTTCCCGGTAATTCAAATCTGTACTGGTAGGTGTCCTCTGTTAGCTGCTCCACTGAGCTTATGTTGAATGCAGTAAATGTATCTGGATTCAGCTCTGAATTATTGCTCTGCAAGAACAACAATAAATAATTACTCGGTTAGATGGTGTCTTTTATTATTTCATTTTTCTTTGGAAGCAAACGTGTGTGCTAATTTAGTGCTGGAGATACTCAGGACTCCAGAAGAATGTGTATTAAATGCCGGGGCCCAGTGCAAATCTCAGCTCTCTGCTGATTCATTATCATGTTCTGCAGTATGCACTTTGGGATCTTGCATTTCCCCCCTCCCCCCCCTTTTTAAATTACATTTTTTACACCTCACAGCAAGGTCATCCTATTCTGACTCACTGCAATCCTCTTCTCATGTTTGGGAACAGAAACGATACTGCTAAAAGAGATGAGCGCTGCTTTGGGGGCAACTTTGAAGCCAAAGTGACCACTGTGAGTCGGAAATACTGCCGGCTTTTTCAACACCGATCATTTTTGCTTGACCCAGCATAGGTAATCTTAGGTAAAAGGGCACCGACAAGATAAAACTACAGGCTGAAGACAACTACTCCACCACACACATGCAGCTTTCTTTTCATTTGCAAAACGCGAGTCGAAAAATCAGGAAAAGATGAGAAAGGTCAGGAAAAGAGAGCTCGGAGGAAGCTGTCCGACAGGAGAAGCTGCAGATCCAGGGCTGTAACGCGACACCAGGGCGAAGTCGACACTTGGAAAATCACATTACAGCAAGGAGAAAGCAGGCAAGGGGGAGGGCGGCTGCAAGCAGAGTTTGGGGAATTGCGTTTACAGCCTTCTCTTAAGGCGCTGCTTTAATCTATTGCTGCATCCCTCACCACAACCCCACACCCTAGCAAGTACCATCAAAGCACAGGCTCTAGGATGTGACAAAGAGGAATTGACCTGCTCCTTCTTTTCCATGAGAAGGCTTTTGTCTCGCTTTGCTTTGGCCCTCTCCCATTGTGCAAGCTCCTTCTCGTACACATCATAGATGCAGGGTTTGCAGCCGCCGCCGCAGCACTGGGATGAAGAAGGTTCCTGGGGTTTGAGAGCCAGCCAGTCGTGCTCATTTCCACTCATTGTCTGCAAAACACAAGCCCTGCATCAAAAACCAGCACGATGAAGAGTGGCACGTGCTCATCAGCGAGCATTATTTGGAGGAGGACTGAGAAAAATCTCTCTTAAGCTATCTCGGGGGACTCAGAAAAACCTGCAAGCCAATCTAGTGCCTGCAATGCTCCATTTTAGCTCAAGCACTCACTGCCTCTGCATTGTCCAGTGCAGGAATGACAGACATCCCAGCCCAGAGCTGCACAACAAACCCCAGCCCAGCCTCAGGCTCCGCTTCCCAGCCAAAGCTACCTCCAGCACCAGGCACACACTTATTCCTGCTTGTTCTGCTGTGGTGATTTCCCACAAAAGAGTGGCTCATTCATCCAGAATGGAAGCATCTTAAAAATCTGCAGCTGGTCCATTGGAACAAATGATGAACTCCAGCCACTGGGATAGAGCACAGGTTTAAAATGGGGAAGGGCAATGAGCTGGAAGTGGGGTTTAAGGCAAGAGACTGGATGCAAATACGGTGAAGTCACAGGTAAACAAATGAACACTTTAGTTATGAGCAGACTTGAGCCTGGCTTTAAACTCAGACATGTAGGAAACGGGTGTCCCTGCCCGTGGCAGGGGGTTGGAACTGGATGAGCTTTTAAGGTCCCTTCCAACCCAACCCATCCCTTCTCCCTCCCCACTTCCCTTGCTTCAGAGCGAGCTGTACCCACCGAACGCTCCTCAAACCGAACCCGTAACCTCCCGGGGCTCTGCTGTTTTTACACCACGACTGCTCCCAGCCCGTTTGTACCCGCACCCCTGAAACAAAAGGAGGTCCACGGGGAAGTGTAACGCCACGGGTGAGGAAGCTGAGGAGAGACCGCTTCATTTTCAAGGCGAATTAATTAACCTTCACCCCTGCAACGCAAACA